GTTAAAGAATTATCTACATGCTCATTCCTTCTACTCTTTAGATGAATACTTCAATGTAAATAGAGAATGATGTAAAATTAAGTTATATTAATTTTTAAGCTAAAATTGCCTGTACTTATGTATGTAACCTTTTGACTTGTTCTGTATCCATAGGTACTAACCTGCTTAGGATTTACAGAATGTAAATAAATTCAATTCAATTCACTATCAGCTTTTCAAGAAAGATCTGCACCATGAAATTAGTCTGTTAATTAGTTAGGTGGCCACTGCACATAGGTGGACCTTGAAATGAAATTTGGATGATGAAACATGACAAAAAATGCAGGCAACAAACACAGTAGCAGTCAGAGAGCTATTGGTTGTGCACATATCAGTTGGGTTCAGTACTGACATACCTGTACATAGAAGTTCACAGTGACTCCATCACCTTGGTCATCTGGCTGGAAGCCATTAACCACCACACCATGATAAATGTCTCTTAGATCAGACTGCATTATCATGCGATCCAGACCCTCCCTTGTTGCCTCATTGAGTTGCTGATAGTTTGGTGAGGTGGTGTCCTCCAGTGCACTGCCATAGCGAAGCGTTTCCTTGCCATGATGAGCAAGTGGCACCTTCATGCTGTATGTGTACGTTGCTGTGGACATGAGAATAAATGGGAATTATAAAGAAACAGAAAAATACCCATTATAATGAATGTGAGGAAGTACAATGGACAAATTGGAACTGTAGCACAGAAACCGTGAGAGAACAACATCAAATAAGGATGAACTGCTTCCTTAAAGAGGCAGTTTTATCCTGTATGAATTATTACTAACATTTCTTCTTATATTGCGTCTGACAATGTGAAAGAGAGGAAAGAATTGAATGACTGAATAGCTGACTTATGCACCGAAACTGTTTACATGGTTTGGTTTTGTTTATCTGCTGTATTAAAATGTGCATGAAATAGGATAGTCAGCAAGAATGAATACTATATTATATTTAAGCATCCTGTTACATTCCACACTTCTATATGTATAATACAAACTCTGTCGCAAATGTAACACTTTATTGTAGTTCTTGTTCACCTTCTTTCACACTACATGTTTCGGCCGCAACCGACCATCATCAGGTGTATTACACTTCACGTAGCTGTCACATTGCACTCAATATTAATATTGTGACATGTTGAGCTCTGAATGACGCCCCTCCCCCCCCCCCCTCCGCCAGCC